TGGTGCTGGAGTCCAGACCGCAAAAGGTACCTCTGGGCTCAGCATGGTACTGCCTCATATCTCTGCCACTTGGTGCAATTTTCCTCCCCAAACCTGGCTCAGGCCCACTGCACAGTACCTTCAGGGACCAAGGTGCCTCCAGCCAGCTAAGCAAAGAGATGCTTAAGATGTCCAAGCTCCTTCATATCATCAGCTATCTACCCTGGAGCAAGCAGCCTAGTCCGTTGGCAGGCCAAGGATGGATGCGAGAACCCCGGGGAAGACTCAGATCCTTTGAATGTGAGGGGCACAAATAGCGGAAAAGCACCAAAGGCACTCGGGCCCAACCAGCTGGAACAGCCTCTTACTCCTCTGGATCTTTCTGCTCATTCTCCTGCCCTCCACTGTCCCATTGATATCATTCACACAAAGTTGGTTATGAGAAAGAGAAGGAGCTGTCAGTCCTCTACCCAGCATAAGTTTTGGGGCTCCATGGAAATGAACTGCTAGTGAAGAACTAGCTCTGACAATCCTGACAAAGTAAATGTAGTTTCTGTAAAGACTGATGCCAGGGAGTCAAACTGCATCTCCTTAGAAAAAGCTGTCTGCCTTTGGTGCCAAGAGTCCTTCGCTATTTTCAGAGAAGCAGTTTTAACAAAGCAGCAAGCAAATCATTTTGTCCAAAGCACTGAGAACCACATTGCACATAAAGACTGGAAACCTTCGGAACATTGGCAGCAAATTTCATTTTCTAGAAGTAACCCCTCTCCTTTTCTGCCCCACTAGAACAGAGCAAGAGCAAACTGCTGTGAAGATAGAATGGAGAGGAAAGAAAATTCATTTTCTTCAGCATCCATCACCTGTGACAGGTTATGATACCCATCAGAGTCCTAAAACATGTAAAAGTTCCCAGTCTATGTTGTGCACCACTGTAATGACTCAGACACAAGCCTTTCAAAGCCGGAACAAACAGAGCACGTGAAAAGTCTCGTCTTCATTAACATGGGAGGGAGAAGAGACTAACAGACCTGAAGGTGAAAGAATACACGCAGTGCGTACCATCGAGACAGGGAGGAAGCTTGGCAACTCTTCTAACAGCGGGATAAGCACGTACACTGGGCTGCAATAAAAATACCCAGCGTAAACTAACCGGTATCACCCCATCTGACAGTGACAGAGGCTGACAACTTACTGAGTTGCTTTATCTCTTGCTGTGTAATTTCATCAGCTTTACAATAGCTTCACTGCTTACCTTCCCAGCAGTCTTGTCTCATTTCAGGATATGAAAGTGTAAGATAGCAATGTTCGTGCTCAGGAAATTAAAGCTACCCAGTATCTGTTTTAATCATCAGGATACTTGCTTCTATCATAGAACATATAAACTGCCTGCCCGCCCGCCCGCCCCCCGCTTCAAAGAGGAGAACCAAGCATTCAGGAAGAGACCTTACCTATCATTCAGCATTACTCAACCTGAGATTTTTAAGTCCTATACGATCTGTATTCATCATCAAAACTTTAACTCTTACATTGCTACTTAGGAAACATTGGGAAAAACAACTTGACAAATACTGGCAAAACAAAAAGGTTGTGAAGAACTAGAACATTCTCAATCTTACATATTCAGCATTTGCACAAAACCAGGCATGACAGCAGTAACTAAAGCCATAAATTTGATATAATTCAAGAACTCCCCAGAGCTATTCAGTTTCATTGTAAACAGCTGGCTAAAGAGTTGCTTAATTTCTGATGTTACAAAACTGGTTGATACAGTCTCAGAGACCTAGAAACACAGTATTAAACAACATGCTCTATTCTCTGTATTTTACTAATCATCATCATCAGTCACCTGCACCCCCATCTGCTATCACCTAACTTCCAGCCAAAATCTCATCAGCCCTCACAAGCCCAGTAATGGCCAACTTTAATCAATACTTTTGACTAGACTCCAGAGGATCTAGGCTCACTTCACAGGGCTGTTTATTTTCACACCAAGCTAAGCTAAGTCATTTAGAGATATAGCTAACAAAGCACTCAAGCACAGTAAGACTCAATTGCTGCATGGTAGGAGCACACACCAAGTCAGACCCCTCAGATACCCAGAAGGTTCAGGCCGCCTTTGCTACCTACCTGAACAACTCACAGGAAGTGCTAAAGAAGAAAATGGGACCTTACCATCCCCTGCAGGTAGCTGCCCTCTTCCCCCAACTTAAGATTCAGAGACCTTTACTCTAATATATAGTATCTGGGTTTGCTGTTGTTGTTCCCCACCCTCACAACTCCTCTACAGCTGTTTCCACTTTGCAAAGAAAGTTAAGTTCCCTGAAAAACCATGTATACCTGACTCTATTGCCTCTTCATCACATCTTGGCAGAGCTCGAGAGATCCGCCTTACCACCCCTGCTCCAATTAATATTTAAGCATGTTAAGTCTGTTATGTGCAGAGGCCAAGGCACCACGTTATTGTGGATAAGGTCACGTGGGACATTTGCTGGATCTTTTCATCCTACCAGAGAAAAAACTTCTAAAAATACTACCTATTTTTTAAAAAACATAAGCAGTTTATGCTCAGGGGGTGGGCCCTGAGTGATCTAACACTGAGTGATTTGTCAGGTGCTTATTTCTTTCCTTTCGAACATGAGGGACAGCTGGGCTGCCCACTTATTCCAGGTAATGGGTCAGGTCCCACCAATGCTGCCCCAAAAGCAGAACAGGCTGCACAGCTTCCTCTTGCTTTCCAGTACCTCTGGGTTTGCTCTGCTAGCAATAGGTTAATGCAACTCTATTTGAGAAATACAGAAAATTGCACCACTGCCAGTTAAACATATACATAAATAGAAAGAAGTCGGTATTGCTGTACTTGAGCACCAGTTAACAATCTGCCCCCTTCCCTAGGGCAAACGCAAATGAGAGTTCTGATCTCTGGCGGGTACGTTCCAAAAGGCAAGTTTTGCCATCAGCTTTCGCTGGGCTAAGAGTCTTCCAAGTATCTACAATTATCCATCCGGGACAAATACCTAAAGGTGCTTTGCCAAAACAAAGCATGTCATAATTGGCTAATAATGACATCAGTTTTAATGACATGAAAAATTAGTTTTCTGTTCAAAGGTCTATTGTACACTCACTTCTCAAGGGAGACCAGCTGGTTAGGTGCTAAATCATCCATCCAGCTACCCCCTTTTACCTTTACGAGCAAGCGAAATGAGGAGAGGAGAATCTCAGCTGCCATCTGATCCGAAGTAACTCCAGCTGGTCGCATTTCCATCTTTTTGTTGAAGGAAGAAAACTTGTACCCTATTACTTTGTATCCTTTGCACGATCTAGAGTTTCTTCTGTTACTACTGTTTGACAATCTTTACAGGCCCTCCCTATGAAAATAATTGAAAGTCTTCCTGAGCTAATACCTTTATAAAAAAAGAAAAGCAGTATATGCACTAGAAGAAAATTTGTAATTACATTTAGCAGATATTACAGAGGATTATTAATCTCATCTCTATAGTTTTTTCAGCTGCAAAATATGCAAGGGAAAAGCATGTAGAATTAAACAAAAAAAATTTGGATAAGCAGGATGATGTGCTGTAAAAATAGCTGTTGCTACCGATGCCATCAAATCTAGGATCAACGTAGCTGTATCAGCAGAACACCAGTACTTTGAGCCTTTACAAACTGGTACAAACACAACCAGCATTAACACTGGTATCAGCCCCTGTAAAGAAAACTGGCACCAGAATAAATACACTATTGAGGTTAATAAGATATACATATTATCAGTGTTCCATTGGCAGGCACTTATGTTACAATTAGAGCAACTAGGCACCAAACAGGAGAAGCACAGGAGGTCAATCAGCACATCATAGCCCGGCACGGTAGAGGCAAACGTGTCACTCCAGGGAGCGACACACATCGTAATACTGTTTCCGTGTCGGGAGAAGACTGTAGTTTTCAGATTAGACTTCCCATGGAGATGCCCAAGATTCACCACTGGACTCCCTTAAGCTTTTACCCACTGAGGGGACAAATAACAAGAAATTCAAAAGGGATCTCTGTGGTGGGTTGAGAATTTCAATTAAAAAAATGAAAACAACTCCCTTCCGTATGCATGCAGTTTTATTTGTTGCTGACGGAATTACTTGCCTGCACAAAATCACAGTGTCAGTACCTGACATATTAGCCAGGTTTACAAAGGAGAAAGTGGATACAAAATAAATAAACACAATGCAGAATTTGAAAATTTGCCCAACATATCAAAAACCTTTCATGTGAGATTTTGTACACGTTAATGCTGACTGGCCTGATTCTTCATTCCTCACCCTACAAAACCCTGATAAGACCCCAACTACCAGGCCTGAGCAGGGAGGGAGATCACTATTAAGCCACAGGACAATGCTGGCACACATACAAGGGGTATCAATTGTCCACCAATAAATCTTAAGAGGAAGAAAGTTGTTAACTGGAGAAGTGAAGTTCTGGAACTGCCTTCCAAAATAAATATCTGGTACAAAAAGCGTACTATGTTAAGATAGAAAGCAAGTGATTTTTAAGAGTGCTTGATCTATCACAGTGACCTTCTTGGATAATAAGAACCTTCTTATTTCATCTATATCGTAAGATCACAATTCTCCAAGTTAGGTTTGTAATAGTGTGCATGCGTGCATTATAAATCACTACAGTAAGTACAATGCAATGGAGAAGAGAACCAGAGTACATAGTTTAGAAATAAGCAGAGTTTTGTTTAAAGTTCATTGTCCTATAGCTTTTGGAAGATCATCACTGAATGGGATGATATGCTGGAGTCTAACATTGACTTTTGGTTCTACCGAGAGTACATTCTTTATAACATCACGGTATTGAAAAAAATATTATTCATTCACAAAATTTAAGAATACAAGAAACAATATATAAGATGTTAGGTAACTTCACAAAGTCACTTTGTGTTAATACTGAAAAGGGCGTAGCTTATTAAACAAAAAGACTTCCATCTGTAATACCCATAGCATATGTGTTAACAAATCAGTATTAAGATGTTTATTCGAACAAAGTTCACATCACAATGAATGAATACAAATACAAATGACTTATAACTGCTGACAAAAAAAATACTGAATTGTTGAAGAGATGATCTCATGCTCTTGCGTATTTTGCATTAGATCTCATAGTTTCTGAATTTCCTCAGAAGCTCTGATGGAGCATCCCCTGACCAGCGGAAACGCAAATGCCAGTAATTTGCCTCTGAAAATCCTGAGGGAAAAAAGAGAAAGGCAAGTAAATTATTAGAAACATGTATAAAACTAAGTTGTCTGAAAGAATACTTGATAATCTTCCCCCAAAAAAGTAAGTAAAAAACGGGTCACTTCCAGTGTTCTTGACTAGCAGGGACAACCTCTGTATTCTTGGCACTGTTTGAACAAGAACTTAAGCAAATACCAAACTTCAAGATATACATCAGCTGGGAAGAGTCCAAAGGAGAACAGCAAGAACAATGGCAGTCTAGAAAAGAGGACTTCCAAACAAAAACTGAACAAACCGCATTTCCTTAATCTAAAGAAGAGCTAGAGGGTGACATGATAAATCTCCAAGTACGTGAAAGGCAGCAGCATGGAGGGAAGGCACAGACGGCCCTTTCCACAGACACGGGCATTCTCAGACCCTGTGCTGCGTTTTTATGATCCATGGGCTGTTAATACTAAAATGTGATCTTCCTCTATCAGGAAGCTGAAACCTGTTACCAGACTTAGTGTTCAAGTCTCTTATTCAGGCTGAAATAGCTACATGGAGTTGTAGTCCATAATTCCTACACACCAGCAGACAGGAAGTGAAAATATCCCAGTTTAAAAGTGGAATCCAATATAACAAATTTTCCTGGACCAAACAAAAGCATTATCAACATCCTAGCATCAAGTGTGGACACTGCAGTGCATGCAGGCCCTGTCAAATAAATATATTCTAATAACAACAACATTTATTAATATAAGTATATGGCCACTGCATAAATTAAGTAGGCATTTGATGGGTTTGATATTTTTCCCATTCAAATCTATGGAAATTAAACTTCAAAAAACTGTGAGAAAGAAGATGCCTGCAAACAGCTCACCATTACAAGGAACAAGATGATGTTTCCTTTACTTTGAAATTTTACTGTTCTACAAAGGATACAGTGGTGATTTAATTACCAAAAAAACAGCACGTAGTATAATGTTGTACAGCATGATTTTTAAATATAAAATTTTCAGTTATGCCTCACATACATACGTTTGTTGAATTTTCTTATCTATTTTCTGCATTCCACAAATGTTTGGGACTAAATTAGGTTTTGCTACCCTCACAGTTCAACTTAATTTCCTGTTTGATCAAGTTGGGGAGAAATGACAGGACTTTGTTTAATAATAGTTCTCTGATAACATAAGCCTAAGATTATGAAACTCCTGAAGGATCAAGCAGAACAGAGGGTGGCTGTTGTGGTAAGTAAACTTTGATTCAGGCATACTAACCTAAACAACAGACAGAAAATACTAACTGGCCAGATGACAGCCTTCAAGTTTCAATTTTTAGTCCTCATTAACTCGTCAGATGCAAACTGTTCAGAAGTACTGAATGCTGAATGTAATACCTAAATATTTTATTTAACAGTTACTTTTTTTAAAAAAAAATAATCACTGAAAATAATTGCAAAACGGAACTTTCCATTTTGGTTTTAAAAGATTTTTTTTTTTTCTTCTCCAGTTTTTGGGTTTACTAGCAAGTGAAATGGGGTAGGGAGGAAGAAAGGTCTGAAAGCTTCAAAATTAAATAAACAACATAAAACCCGAAACAAAACCCCAACCCAAAACCACATTAAAAAGCTACCAGTTAAACATATTATTCTGGAGAAGAATTTCTCATGACTAAAAGCCTCTGTTTCAGCCCAGTCCCTGGATAACGCAATTTTCTGTAGCTGCTGGTTTCACTTACTTGGGGAGTCTGGATTCTTTGAAGACTCTGGTTTCACATCAGGAATTGCAACATCTTCTTGCTCCCTGTTCCCATCTGACAATCCATCTTCATTGTTTTCAGTCTGTTGGGGCCAAATCTCGTTGTTACTCAAGTCAGGAGCTTCCAGCATTTGGTCCTTCTTACTCTGGACAGCCCAGTGCATTGACTAAAGAAATGCAAAAATAACAAATAAAGAACTAATTCCTGCGCTTTAAGAGATTTTTAATGAACTTCCCTTTTTTTTCCTCATATTGTTGTAATAAATGGTTAAACAAAGCACATATTAGAGAGAAGCTTCCAGGTCAACAGGATAAGGGAAAGCATGGCTACATACTGCAAATAGCAGTTGAGGGTATAGTTTATGTCAGGTGGGGATGAAAAACAAAATGTACAAGTGCATCAAATAATTCTAAGGGACTTTTGTCCACTTTATTCTGTCATGACTTCAGACACTTTTTTAAGAGGGCTTGAGTGACCTAGAAAATGTCCGTTTTCAAAGCTGTGTTTGACTTCAAGGTGCCCTTTAAAAGCAAGACAATTTGGAAAGATTACTATTAAAGTCTGTGGAATGACTTCTTTTCGGAACTGAACTAAGCTTGACAGGATACTTCCAGCAACCATTTAAGCTCAGGCATAATGCTTTAGTTGAAGAGGCTCTCAAATTTCTCTCATAAGCAGAATTGGTGAGGGAAACATTTATTCATCTGCCTTAAAATATGACCAAGTAGACTTGTCACTATCACTGACCCTAATAAGGCAGGAAAAAAAAAAGATAAAATCAAACATTATGGAATTAGCATCTACTAGGAACATGCTACCAAATTATCTCACTAGCAAAATTAGGGAGGTAAACAGCCCTCAGAACATCTGCCTCTGTCACAAATCACCCCACTAGCCTAACAGGACCCCTCCAAAGACCTGTTTGAAGCTCAGGGTTCCAAAGAACCCATCTTCTAATTTTTCAAGGAGCTCTTTATTTAATCAGATAGTATGAAAACCTATCTGATAAGCAATACACCGAAAGGAGAATAGAGTATACAAAGGTCCGAGCTTTAATCTAACTTTGAAAATAAATAAAAGGTTCCTACAAAAGCAAAGTGGGCTGAAGCATTTGAAAATAGCCCTTAAGTTACTTAGACTTCATATAATATGCATAAAAGCAGCTAATTGATAAATTCACTCTAAAACTACTAGCCTAAAACCCTTCTGTGAATGGGCTTCTATAGCCCTCCCATCTGTCCTGAATTTCCTTAACATCCCTAGTGCAGGAATCACTCTGCACTACTCCCATCCCCAAAACCCACCACTGCAGCAGAAGTGTTGTAACTCACCCCCTCACTCACTGCAACATTTTCTCTGGACCAGCCCTACCTCTCCCTCCTCCTGAAAGCCCAAACTTAGACACCACCAACCATTTTCACAGAATTGCTGAGGGCCTCCCATTGCTGGAACGGAATGGTAATTTTGCTTTGACGCCAGTAATCGTAACGCGCTCGACTCTCTTCATTAGTAAGAATCTCCTTAGCTTGCTGCAGCTTCTGGAAATTCTCCACTAGAACACAAATCAAAAAGATACTAAAGCCAATTTTTTTTTTTTCAAATAAATTAATTCAGATGTGAAAGGGGAGCTGCCATCAATGGCTTAGAGCAAACAGAGTAGAAGAGACAGAAGGAGAACTAAGCGACAAAGGTACACGGTTGCTCTGCTTACAGCTTTGCACAGTTTTAGCTGCCGTGAGGATCATAGCGCCTTTGGTGGACAACTGATATCCTTTTCAAATGAGGACTAAAATGCTCATTTGTCTATCGGCTTCAAAATCTCCTCAATTTAAGTTCAGAGAAACTTCCAGAGTACAACAGGCAAAAGGCACAAGTTACCCCCTGCAAACAACCTTAAAAAGGGAAATTAAACTAAAGTAATAATGCTTAGAAGGAACACGCTTACATCCACAGCAGCAAGGAAGTCAGACCAAAGCACACCACCAGGAAAACATGGAGGGGGGGGGGGCAGAAACACACCAGGACAACAGGCAAAATTTGAACAGATTAAGTAACTTGTGCATTTTATTAGGTATGTTTTCTACATATGCTAAAATGTTATCTTCAATACCAGACTGCATGATGAATGAGAGCTCTTATTTTTCCAAAAAAGTAATTCTTCATTAAATGGTTACTAAGGATGCAGCTGCATGTTACTATTTGTAGAAGGGTTATAAAGATTTAGATTTTATCTATGAGTCACCTATGTTACAGTGATCTGTTATTATTCATTTATTCCTGTTTACAAATTTGAGAGATTTCTTTTGAAATACACTAAGCCCAAACACTAACCGAAATTGGTAACCATAAATTGAACAACAGGCAACAGGTCAAGGGAGCAATTCTATTAGGTTTCCTTTTTCTAGCATTACTACTTTTCAACAAATGAAAGGTCTACTTTAATTACTCTTTATTGAGCTTTAAGCTGATGAAATAAAAACTATGCAGGAAACTTTCACCAGTACTGTAAAAGGTATTTAAAATAAATACGACACATTCAGGTAAATGGAGCATAAAGTATCTCTTCTTGACAAACAAGGCTGCTCCAACATTTGGCACTTGGCCTCCCTTTTTGAGTTACTTAGCTTCAATTAACTGGGGGGACGGACTGGGCGGTGGTACAGAGAGAACAGGACCATGCACTGGAATAGTCTCTTGTTTCCCTCCTGCAATAGCCAGAATTTTCTGCAGACAAAGCTGATTCCATTGGTTCCAGTGATATTTGTGCTATCATTTAAAATAAATTAAATATTAGCGATGAGGTTATCGTTAACAGGTGGTAGATTGTCTCTCAGACACCAAATCTCAGGGGATTCCTTGTCAGGGAATCCCAAAGAGAAAAATCCCAGGTATTTCACCTTTTAACCCCCAAGCCCTCCCCATCACCTCTGTGATTCTAGGCCAGGCTGGCTCATCAGTAAGGGAAGCCAAGCCCTGCTGAGAGCTCTGCCGGAGGCAGCGGAGTGTGAGTCTCATTTCCCAGCTGCTGTATTCCCAGCTCTCCGCTCACAGAGGAGCCTGTGGGTGAGGTCAAACTCACACAGGCAGGCAGGCTACGGTGTCAGTTCATCCTTATGTCGTTCCGTTTATACTTAAACTGAGAGCAGGAATCCAAAGGAAAAGTTTTGGGCATTAATCAAAATGAGAAGCATATTTAATTATTCTACAATAAATTTTTGGTAGGAGCCATAGTTATGATCAGAACCACCTTTACTGTAAGAATATAAACTATTCAGACATCAGTGAGCACTGATCAGAGCTACCTTGGGGTTATGAATGGGTAAGATTGTCTCCAAAGAACTCAGGTGCTGCTTAGCCATCACAGGTTTGATGAACTGCATGCTTTCATAAACGCAAATGTTAGCTGCTGTTCTGCAAACAGATGGCTACTCATGTGGTGCTGGCTTCTCTTTATTTCCAGTCATTAAATAACATTAAAAGAAATTAAAGTAATTTAATGTGTTCCTGATGGGCTTGTTCATGGAAGCAAATTAACTACTTGATGCAAGTATGGCACTTGAATGCCACTGAGCATGGAAGCAGGCCATCTTCATACTTCTAGAAAGGGATATACTCCATAAATAATTTCTGGACTAAAAGATGTTCTACCATAGAAAGAAAAAAAAAAATTGAAAGTCCTAGAAAAAAAAAAAATCCAAAAAGTATCTTCCTGCTCTATCACCTAGGAGGGTACAAGTGTTAGAAAAGAATATTAAAACTTGCTATTTAAAGACAATATGCTCAATACACATGACAATTAAGATATATTGGGGGAAGAGAATATTTAATAAAGTTTTAAGGCTGAATTTAGTATCTTAGTCATGTTAATATAAGAAAAAAATAGATTGTTTTAAAGAGGGAAGAATACATACCTGCTTTGGGGTTTCCAGGATGTTTGTCAGGATGACATTCAAGGGCTTTAATCTTAAATTCTGCAAGAATTTGTTCAACCTAAGCAGAACGTCAAGAGTTAAAGTGAGTAAATACATACACACAGAAAAGATTTTCAAATTTGCTTTTTGAAAAGGATTGGGAGGAACAACAAAGAATGCCAAAAGATTTTCTCCTATTCATTTTTACAAGCTTTAGCACAAGCAAAATAGGTAACAACAACCATTTGTCAGTGACACTGCTTATTTAATTTCATTTGCCATGCACTCATCCTTATTCTTGTTTTTGTGAAGCTCAGTCATTCAATGGGAAGTTGGCTTTAAGAAAAATGAGTAAAGATCACGTGCGCGAAACCCATTCCTCACATTGGACCATGCAGGCAAAATGCACCACTTCGGTTGCTCTTCACCGTGTTTAATCTACTCTAACTTTTAACGAAGTCTCCTTGCAGGACGCAAAGACTTTCTGTATTGCTGAAGATCAGCTTGTGGGATTGGGCGGCTTTCGCCATATCCTCGTCACAGGAAATTTAGCCAGTAGCAAGTGACTTTGCCATCTTGGGTTCCCCCAAGCTAGATAACTAGCAGTTCGCATTCTTCCTGTCAAGTTCATTTTCTGTGCAAAGAGGTTGGTTTGGAATAGAATAAATTTATAATCAATATTAGAATAGTGGCATGTATTAGTTTATTAGATAATGACAAGTTCCCACACAGTTTGTAGTACCATAAAGTATAACAAGCACTGGAAAAACAAAGACGTATTAACAGTAAACACAATACAGGAAACCGCTGGGGTGGGCATCAGTTTAGATTTTCAGCTTTTCAGATTTTTTCAAAGTGTCTTGCTTCTGATTATAAGTCAGAAGCCAAAGCTGCTTTATGTCATTCTAGTACAGCTTAAGCTTTCACAACAATTTCCCCTATGATATCAATTAGCTACTATTCTTTTCCATGCTAGACAGGCTGTTTATATAAATTCCTCATCCTTCAATTTAAATTATTTATTTCAAAAATAAAGCTCATAACATTTTTTTCTTTAGATTAAAATTGCAGTTCGCTCAACTAGCTCACCAAATTTTGTTGTCATATTCTGGGAAAAATGCAGTCTACAGCGATATTTTAAGAATTCTACACTTTTCACTCTTGTCAGTAACTTCTTCCAGAGGGACAGATATAAGGCGGTGTATTTCCAGTCAGTGAGACATTTAAAAATATATACATTGTACAGAGAACTTGTTGAAAGTGGTTACTATATAGCTAGCTACCATCTCTAAAACTTAGTTATATCAAGGGGAAATTTAAAGTTAAAATACGTACAGTAGCAGAGGGGTAGCGTGGAAGTCTTCGGTTTTAAAAAAAAAAAAAAAAAATCAGTAGACGGAAAAGTTTATAGGAAGTTTATACAAAATATATGAAATTTATATAAAATATTCAGTGAGATGTTTTACCAAGAAAGGTATCCAATACCCACTATATATGAATAACACTGTTCTTGGAAGAAGGGTGTAGATTAAACCTCCCCTCTTCCTCTCAAGTCTGAAGATGAACTAGGTGTCCATGAGCTCAATTCTATGAGAAGCCAAGAATGAACACGGGTCTTTACTTGAATACAGGGAGAATCTGTAGAAATTGAGACTATTTGTGGTTAAATTTAATCAGGTCAGATCAAGACCAGAATATTCAGCAGCTCAGATGAAAGTACTGCAGCTGGGAAGGTGCTGTATATGCCTAAAGCAGCCTGTGCTGCTACAAATACTTGACTGCCTGTACAAAGCAATGCGATTGCAGAACACCTGTAATGCTTCAAATGTCTGTTAAATGTCCGAAGTCGCGTGCACCATCCCGAGGGAAGGCAGGCGTGGTACTCGGGCAACTTGTGATCTCGGGTCCTACTCCCAGGTCAAAAACAATCTAGTAACATCTGATGCTTCTCTGAACAAATCATACTTGATAGATTATTTTTTCAGGATCCATTAGCGTTTATTCCATCTTTTTAATTTCATTTTTAAGCAATTTGAAAAATCATTATCATACGTACTTGAACTAACCATTGATTGCTCAGCCCTTAAGGAATTAATGTGAGGTAGAAAACGAGAAACGGCGCCTGCGAAACCAGCCTGCGTACCAACTGTAACACCACCCTCTGCTGGGATGGCTCCCAGGGAGCTGGCTCGGGAAAAGCTTTTCATTGCCTGCTGTGACAGATCGACGATGCTTTCGAGTATGCTTTCAGGGGCAGAAAAAAACAAGAGGTATTTTCCCAGCATTTGATCACTAGGACAGATGAGGGCATCTGATTAAATTTACTGAGCAAAACCACAGCTTTTGTCCACACTGAATACATCCTTCATTACAGCAGAGTAATCCAAACCCCTTCTCCAAAATTGAATCACAATTGCAGTTAATGTAACAACTAGATTAAAAAATATTCGCGTACCACTAACTCAGACTATCCAATAAAACGTTAGACGGACACCTTTAGGAAGAAGAACACTTGTTTTAGCTACAAATCATTGCAAAACAATTGCTTAGCTAGATCTCATTATAAAGTATATATCTGCGACCAAAACAAATTAGTAGAACTAGTATTTGAATGTCATTAAAATTAGCGTTTAGAAATCATTAATATGATGAATGAAAAAGAGAGATTATTTTTGGTTTTCCTCCCAACCAATGAATACAGGGGTGTTTTTAAATTAAAAAAAAACCTGTATCAAACCTGAGAAACTCAATAGCATTATCAGTGACCTACAGCTATGAACACTCATCGTATTAGTTGCATATGAATAGATTTTTTCATCTTTTAAAACCGAAACTATATTCCAAAATATTATTTGGGTGTTGTCAAATTTATGCAGTTGGCTCATGATTCATAACCTTATCGCATGTTGAACTAAACGAATGCAGAAACCATTATTTCACCTGTACCTATAATACAATCCTGTTTTATAAGACACTTTTAAGATAAGCCTTATTCTAGGACCTTAACATCAGTATACAGATCAAAAAATTGAGCTTTACGAAGGGAGACACTAAAAGTGGTAAGAAAGAAGGTTCACAATGCATTTCAAATACTCCTGCCTGTAGGGGTAAACAAATTCAAATACCCCCCCCCCCCCGGTAGACAGACAAGCACATTCAAAACGTTATTACCGCGGAGGGGAGGCAGAGAAGGCTCTTACCGTAGATCGTTCATCGCATCCGAGCAAGTTGTAGTAATCTTCCAAGTCAGCCGGTCTGCAGTTGAGAATCGCATCCATCTGGACTAGCCCAGCGGGCTTTCTCAAGCCCAGGCACAGAGGGTGTAAAATACAGTATCAATACACAGCTCACGCAAGGGTTTAAAAGTAGCCCAGAGAAACAAGACGATTTCCACTCGGGTCTACCGCTCTCGCCGGTGCTTTTTAATACTGGCAGCTGACACACACGAATTTTCTTGACTTCTCCACCCGCCATTGGTCCCTGCGGGATGCCAATCCGGCTGCACAAACCTGCCCACGGCAATGCTCCCTGGGATTTGTAGTTGCCAAAGTCACTTCAACATGACACTGTGGGTCTCGTCCGACTGAAGGGAGTTCTGGATGCCAACCAAAATGTGGCTGTATTGGAGATTTACATCCCGCCATCACCTGTACAGCCACTTCAGATCAGGCACATACTTAAAGGCTTTCCTGCACCTGAGCCTACAAATACTAAAAAGTATTTTCTGCTTAATTTTTAATTGTAACTTTTGCCGCAGTCTTTGACAAGGGGATTATATGGGTAATTATAGAAAACTGTAAGGATTACTTCCAAATAACGATTACAGGGTTGCAAACTTTTGAGAATGAAGCACTGACCTTGCCAAAGCCTCTCAGAGTTCCGTCAGTCGCTGCAGCAGAAAGGGATGAATCTTTACGCTTTGAAAGCTACCCAGGGTACGTACATACTACTCTTCACAAAGAAACAGCTCTTGTGCATCAACTGCACATCTGACAGAACTAAGACTATGAAAAGACAACACAAAATACTTACTGTCTACTATCAAATTAAATACAGACTCTAATTACTAAATTGCTAAATTACTTTCAAATTGTGTCTTGAAGGTCTGTATTGTGTGCAGAACATGTTCCCTGCAAAAATCGTTTTACATTGAAGTGAAATACCTTTAATTTTGAACTGTAATTAATGATCGAGGCCTCAGCCCAACAAAGACTGCAGACCTCTTTAACCATCGGGATTCCTGCGATCTATTGATTTTAAAAGGTTACTTCCTAGGGGTAACACTAACCACTTGCTGAAGCCTTTCCTCTGGAGCCTAAGGAGCTCTGTGTTTACTTTTCCCATCCCTGCAAGAGCTTTGTAATCCAAGACGTTTCATGCCCTTATATATTGCTGATTCTTTACGCTAACACTTAGAAATAGATGCCTTGCATAGTTACACAATTTCAGATGCAGCGACCTAGTAGGTGATGCTATGCAGCCCAGATACAGAGAGTGTGACCGAGGCTAGAACGGGGGGGTGGTAATCAGTGAAGGACCCAGTGGCCATTCAGAACTGTTTATAAAAACCTGAGTATATAATTCCTGCATTTACAAGAGCTTTATTTTATTACCTGTATTATTATTCTGAAATTACCTACATACAATACTAGTCTTCCACTGCTTTCTCTTCAAAGTTGTATTGCCTGAAATTTCCTATTTTTACTGTATGTTCAGATAGCCTATTAAGATTATAAACTACATAAAGCATACGAAAAGAAGAAGCAATAATCTGAAACAGCAAAACACAAGCCTCAGTGAAACCATTTAAATCTGTTAGAAAGCACTCCTACCATATTTCTCTGAGTAAATAAAACAATAGCTACACTTTTTCAACAAAGTGATAGAATGAGCAGTTACAAATCTCTCCCTCTCCCCCATTCATAACTTAATAATAAACCAGAAAAGTATAAGAAAGAAAATAAAGCCTTTTAGCAAGAGATCATGTAAATATTTAAATAGATTGTACTTTGGGGGAGGATGAAAAACAAACAGCTGTCCCTCTTCCCAACAGCACTCCTGACATACCGTTTCTGTCCAAGTACTTCTTGTATATTTGCGTAAGGTGAAAGGGAAAGCTCTTTAACCCTTTTTCCCTCCAGCTTTCTGTGGCTATTCCCGTGCTGCAAGGTGAACTGCGGGTCCAAGGGCTGGATTCAGACGACAAAACCCTAAGCCTTGCAGGGTTGTGTTCACACGGGGACTTGCTCACTGAAGCCCTGGTCCCACCTGTACTCTCCTCCGTTGAGACCAAATAAACAAGGGCCCTGATCCAAACTGCAGCAGCAACCACACTCGCACCACCCTGCCCCGACATTTCCAGTGCTTGGGGCACAAGGGGTCCCATAGCACACCCTGAACGTTTGCCTGTGGAGGACACAAAATACTGACACTGAATAAATAAATACTCGGTACTTTTAACTGCTCTTACTGACTTCAGCAGGACAACTCAGAGAACAAAGCATCATCACAAAAAGGAGACCAAAAGAACCTGTATATAATGCGCAGAAAAAAAATATAAAGATTGCCTTCAGGACATAAACTTTATTTGAAAGAGAATCATAGTGCACGAGATGGCACTGCTTATGTGTCTACACATGTTTTGGTTAGCGTTGCTCAGAACGTACAAACAGTACTGAAAGTGAGGAAATCTCGTATTTGTTCTCTGTACCCAACCACAAACAAAATATTTCTATTCATTCCTAACATATTATCGACAGTTTTGGTTGTTTAGAGCCAAGAGTGAAACTAAATTCTGGTTTAGTATAACGGGAGGTTGATCACCAACCTGTAAAAGTCATAAATGGCCCTTTAAACAAAACAGCAAGAGCTGGAAATGTCTATTTGAATTTAATCTCATAAAATACATCAAATCTTCTAGTACCTCTTCTTCTCAACTGACTGTAGTTGTTTTGCTTCCGGAGGGCAGAGTACACATTTTCAAGAAGCTCCAGGCACAACATAACTCAAATGAGTTTTGCATTTCATGCTCCATCCCTGTCCCCACACATGCTCTGAGCTGCAGAGACAGAAGAGGACCTAAGCACTACCAATCCGACTTCCGATTTAGGGGTAACTACTGCAACAGCAGCCTCACCGTGGATAAATGCTTGCAATATTACAGTCAGCTGGAGGATCCTTGAATCATTTCCTCACCAATACCTCTGCAGAAAGCTTTAGGTCATACACCTATAGCAATGACCTATTTTCTTCCTTAGAATGCAGTCTTCACATTAATATTGTTGTTTTGATACTTATTTAAGTCACACCTCTCCTTTATATGCTGACAAAAGCATCTTGCACATGCTTTTTAAGAAACCTGAATCTTGCCCCAGCTTCAGTAAGGAAAAAGAATGCTTGCATACAAATTTGCACAGAATAATAAGAACGTTCTGATTCACATCTGGTTACTTTATGGTTTGTTTTTGAGAAATAGGTAGTGTGAAAAATGGCATGTACATCTTTTTTGGGGGTGCTAATAACCAAAAGAACAAGGAAAAAAAATAAGTGTCCTCCCCTACAAATACATATACCACCTATAAGGTCAGTTATCTATAAAATCGTCCCTTTTGAAGCCAAAACCCATGTATCAACAATTTTAACCCAAAGTTTTTTTAAAAAGCTGTTATCGAGGCCTGCAAGAGAGAAATTCTGCCTGTCTAATCTTTGTCTTGCCACTAAACTTAGGGATTCAGTTGTATTAAATTCACTAAAACTATTCTGCAAATAGTTTGTGATGTTAAGCAGTAACATTAATCAAATCAGTATTTAAATTTATATCCATGAATTTTAGATCAAAATTCTGTGTTGGTAGAAGTCCCAGGAAAGTGGCCAAGTTCTATCCGGACAAGGCTTCCAGGTAGAAAGCGACACGTCTAAGAAAGCCAACGCGTGGCAACTCTGTATTTACCAGACAGCGACGGTCCACAATTCAGCGTGGGGCTCAGCCGCTCAGGAATGTCTCTACCATCCAGATAGCAGAGAGACCACTGGAGAACCACAGGTGACCACAGCTACCACCTGTGCGCATCCCACCGGCGAACGCCGATGTGAAAAAGAATGAATTTGTGAATGCCGTCACAGCGAATCCCAACCCTGGCAATTCACCATCAGGTCTCTCGTACACGACTTAAAACAGGCGTCGTTCGGATGGGTGCTGAACCCCCCTAAAAAACCTTCCCGTAGCCGAGGAGTTCGCGTCCCGCGGCAATACATCACGGCGTCCCTACCAGACCCTCCCCCGGGCAGGCACACCGGCGCCCCCGGCAGAAGCTGTAACCCTGCACGCGGCTCTCTGCTCACCCGCGGCTCTGCTCTGTGCTTACGGAAAACGGAGAGCC